CCCCAAAACCCCAAAACCCCAAAACCCCAAATTTAGAAAGGAATATTGAATTTTAATGGAATATATGGGTGAGCTTTTTGATGTTAATAATATTTTGAATAGCAAGTATTTAATTCTTTAAGCATTTGCACATGATAAGGTAGGAATTAACACTTTTGACCTTAGGATATCTCCGAGAGTTTAAAATTCACTTTCAGATGCACTTTCTGATTGATTTTCTAAGCTCCTTGCACTTTCATTTGATTCCTCATTATTTTCAGTTTCTTCTTTTATATCTCTCAGCCCGATTTTGTACCATTTCTTGGATCCCTCAAAATCAAATCTTTGTAGTCCCTTAGCTCCATAAGCATACAAATAATGCCCTTTTACCAAAAATCCATCATAGAATTCATCATCGACTGCATAGTTTTTCTGATCTAATAAAAGTTAAGAATCTCAAAAAATCACTATTAAAAAGCCGGCATGAACTACAATTAGATTCCAAACACAATAAACACCTCTAAATAGTCTTAATCTTCCTCTAAATTATACTTTTAACATTTTTCTAAATACTATTATAACCTACCTGTGAAAGCTTGGGTTTGCATATTATACACATATCCATACTTCAAACTTGACAAGAAAATTTCATTTCTACTAATCTGAATTGCTGAACTCTTGTAACAGATATATAAGTTCAGATTGGAAGGGTTCTTGTTTGTATATTTCTTCCAATCTCCTTTCAGAACTCCTTCTGAGATCTCAGTTAGGTTGTCCAAATCACATACCATAATTTTGAAAGAGTTTATACTGTATGGGAAGGCTACTAGATACCTTGCATTATACACACAGAGAATGTAGTTAGACTGCTTGTTAAGTCCTGTGATCTCTGAGAACTCCCTTGTTTCTATATCATATCTCTCGAGGATCGATCTAGTCGAGCTTATCCCTTCAAATTCTCCAGTGAAGTAAATATGCGTCTTAGTAGAAGCACAAGAGATTTTCTTCCTTTTTGTTGGCAAGTCTTTCAGCTGTTCTATTTCATTTCCCTCCATTGTATAGAAAGCAGATGAAAATTTGGTCTCAGAAGCACCAAAGAGATAAATCTCACCAGAGTCAGTACAGATACTTTTGCTATCAGGAGAGAGGATTCCTCTAAAGATTGTACTCATCTTCCTAGTCTCTATTTCCTCGTTGGTGTCTTTAATAGTAGGCTCATTATAATTTATCCTTCTAAGTTTCTTCTCATTTAGGTCATAATTAAGCATGCGTCGTTTAATCTTATCTATTCTGTAGAGTTGTTTGTAGTTCTTATTTTTAGTATGCCCAGTTTCTCCTTTAGCATGTTTTTCTTCCTCAAATTCTCCTTTAGATTCTTCAATATCGAGTCCTTGTGTGTCTTCCATCTTCATTTTGATCTTAATGTTTTTATGAATAGTGTTGATAATCTCTTCATCTTTGGTTACAGTCTCAAAGGAGAAAGAATAGCCTGATTTTTCCTCTATTTCTTTATACTTCTGTTTACATCTATTGAGGGATTCTGTGTATTCAGGCACGAACTCTTTGAACATCTCTTCGTTCTTCATAATGCTACTCTCCTTCACAAGATCATAGTCGTTAGAGTTTTCGTAAAGATCTTCAAGCTTGGCAATCTCAAGTTCTTTGTGTTTAACATTGGTATAATATTCATTAAAGGCTTCGTCTTCATCTAATAAATCTTGCATTTCTCCTTGGGCACGGATCTTGAAGGCTTCAAGGTACTTAGACTTGCTCTCCTCGATCTTTTTGATGAGTTCATCAAAATGATTTTCGATATCTTTACTTGTATTGTCCACTTGATTGTAAAAAGTTTCTTTATTTCTCTGAAAATTTCTCATGTAAGGTTCTCCAATCTTGGTTAATTCTCTGAAAATCGGTTTTAAAGCTGTTAAATCCTTTTGTTAATTTTTGTGCTTGGAGAACAACTGTAACAATATCTCAGTCTGAATGGACTGAGATGCATCGTTCACAGATACCTTTGACACAGTCTTTGCAGAAGAAAAGTTTTTCAAAGCCTGGGTGTTTGACACAATACTTATCCTTGATGTCCTTTTCTCCTCTTTCAGATTCTTGGAGGATACAGATTGCACAGACCATGACTCCATCTCGTTTACGAAGGAATTCAAGTTCTCTACCAGGATGCTTTATGCAGAGCCTTTTGGATTCGATACCTCCTCGCTCGATTGGTGGATGTTCCTTAGTGATGTATTTAGACCCCTCATAGATTTTAGCATTCTTGGCAGACTCGCTTTGTGAAGAGCTCCACATTTTTATTTATGATAAATAAATTTAATGTTAGTAATCGTTAGAGGGGTTTTGGGGTTTTGGGGTTTTGGGGTTTTGGGG